ATATATATATATTGATTTCAGAGAGGAAGGGAAAGGGAGAGAGAGATAGAAACATCAATGATGAGAGAGAATAATTGATTGGCTGCCTCCTGCAAGGGCCCCCCACCCCCTGCCTCCAGGATTGAGCCTGAAACCCAGGTATATGCCCTGGCAGGGAATCTAACCATGATCTCCTGGTTCATAGGTCAACACTCAGCCACACTGGGCCTGTACTCTGCTGAATTTATAATAGAGAAAAGTTATAACAACCTGAATGGACCAAGCTAAGTAACAAGGATGAACTGTAAATTCTTAGAAATTCATGCACTGGGGGAGGGGGGCCCTCAGTCTGGCCTACACCCTCTCACAGTCCAGGACCCCTTGGTGGACATCCCTCTCACAGTCTTGGACCCCTTGCTCTTTACCGCCCACCTGCTTGCTGCTCCTTAATGCTCGGCTCGCTGCTCCTTAGCACTGCCGTGGAGGTGGGAGAGGCTCCCCCCACCGACGCTACGCTTGCCAGCTGTGAGCCCAGCTTCTGGCTGAGCAGTACTTCCCCTGTGGAAGTGCACTGACCACCAGGGGGGCAGCTCCTGTATTGAGCGTCTGCCTCCTGGTGGTCAGTGCGCATCATAACGACTGGTTATTCTGGTTGTTTTGCCTTAACGGTTGCTTAGTCTTTTATTATATAGACTAGAGGCCCAGTGCATGAACTCGTGCACTGGTGGGGTTTGGCCCACCCAGCCCCAATCAGGTTGGACTGGAGCCAGGCCTGTCAGGAGGAAGAGATGGCGGGAGATTGGCCTGCCAGCCTACCCTGAATGGGGCCCGATCAGAGCCGGGCCAGCTGAAGGGAGGGGCTGTGGGCAATTGGCTGGTGGGCCCTGGCCCCGATTGGGATGGGGGGCTGATTGGGTGTAGGGCCAGGAAGGGGAGGGGCTGTGGGGGCCAATTGGGGTGGGGCAGGCTGATCAGTGAGGGGTGAGGCTGGCTGGGGGGGAAGGGCCATGGTGGGGGGTTGCCCCGCCACCCACCCTCGATCGGGGTGGGAGTGGCAAATCAGGGCAGGGCCAGCTGGCAGGAAGGGCCCCTGTAGGTTGGCCAGTTGGCCTCACCCCCGATTGGGTCAGTTTGCTGGTTGCAGTGGGCGTCATACTAACCGGTTGTTAAAGTCCTTATGGTCGTTATGGCGTTCTAGTCTCTGGCTTTTTATATGTATAGACTAGAGGCCCAGTGCACAAATATTTGTGCACTGGAGTTGGGGGAGGTCCTGAGCCCAGCCTGCACTCTCTTGCAGTCTGGGATCACTTGGGGGATGTCTGCCTGCCAGCTTGGGGGATTGGGCCTAAGGCAGCAGTCAGACATCCCTCTCACAGTCCAGGGCTCTCTCAGTCCAGTACCCCTTGCTCCTTACCACCCGCCTGCAGCAGAGGCAGGAGAGGCTCCCGCCACTGCTGCTGTGCTCACCAGCTGTGAGCCTGGCTTCTGGCTGAGTGGCGCTTCCACTGTGGGAAATCACTGACCACCAGGGGGAAGCTCCTGCATTGAGCGTCTGCCTCCTGGTGGTCAGTGTGTGTCATAGCAACTGGTCATTTCGCAGTTTGGTTGATTTGCATATTAGGGTTTTATTATCTAAGATGGTATAACATTTTGGTGTATCCATAAAATAAAATATCATGCATGCTAACTTTTAATAACTTGAGTTTTTAATGACAGGGAAGAATATAAAGTAATGATAATAAGATATACTGGGTCAAGAAAGACTATTAAATAACAATAGCAAAAGACAAAACTACTTTTATGTCCAGAATGCTGGGCAATTTTTGTTTTCTTACCATTTTCTAAAAATTTTGTTCAATATCCATGTATATTTTCTGTTGAAAACAAAGCAAGATAATATAAATTTTTATAAAAATCAGATATCACATTTTGAGGAAGACTTTCTTAATACTTATCCACCACTTCCCAAAGCATGTTTCCCCTGCCTGACATAGTGCCTGTCATATCGCAGGTACGCAATAATGGTTTACTGATTTATTTTCCTCTCTTGCTGGATGTTCCAGCCTGGAAAGAGCTAGAAACAGGTATAAACAGAGCTAGAAACACTTTTTGAAGTAGGCAAAATGCTTCATAAAGAATCCTGAAGGTTTGCTTGAACCCGTCAAATACTAGTGACACTTTAAACTTCTGTCAGGAATTTAACTTGCCCTGAAGTCATTGCCCCCCACCCTTGACTGCCAAAGAACAGGCTGTGATGGGTTGAAGGCCTTTTCCACTTTAAGAGGTGTGGGGCTGGCTGGCTGAGTGGTGGAGTGTGGCTGCTTTGAGGGGTGGAGTGTGGCCGCTATGATGAACTACTTCAACCAGTTCACTGACCTCCAGACTCCATCCTGAACCCTGCACTTTGGATAATTGTGTACTTGTTTCTTCAATCTACAGTCCCACTTTCCCCAGTGACTTGGATACTATATTGGTAAAACCCAAAGGATTTACCTCTTTTTGGCTTATTATCTTGGCAAAATGATCATGTGTTCCAGCTCACCTTGGAATTCCAGTCTCAGGAGTTGCTTGCAATGAATTCTCTAGATCTAGGCATTTCACCTTCTTCTGGCTAGTGCTCTCGGCCCCAACACCCAATGTTCTCCCCAACACTCATGCATCTCAGCACTGTCTTTCTAGGAGAACACAGAATGTTAAGATTGGCCACCTCTGTTTCCTGCTCCTCAGCATCTTTATAGTCTGTTTGAGAGTCTGGTACCTTCAGAGTTTCCCTATATGTTCCATCTCAGAAGGTCATAGCTTTTAAGGAAGTTTGGTCCTTTTTGGACCAGAAGTTGGAAGATCTTAGGTCTTAACACACATCCTGTGTGACTTTGATCAAGTCTGTTAAATTCTCTAGGTTTTGCTTCCTATCCTATACAAAACAGATTGGGATCAGATAAAACCATGGATATGGATATGCTGGGGGGAATAAAAAGTACCTGGCAGGGCCTTTGCCAGGCCATATTACTGCTGGAGTTGCCAGTCCTGCCTGCAGCTCCCAGAGGCTGGGAGGACAAAATGACAATAGATGTGAAAGTGCCCAGAATGGAGTTATGAGCACAGTGCCAGTCAAGGCATAGAAGGGGAAGGCTCTATATTACCATGAGTCAGGGAAAGTGAAAGGTTTCCCTGCAGCCAGAAGGTGGGTGACCCACAGAATGCATTTGGAGCTTCCTAGAACCAGGGTTGACTCCTGCTGTCATGTCTCACATTCCTGAACTGGAAAGAGTTAAGTCCTAGAATAGTATCCCTTGCAGTAAATCCACTGGGTATGGGGGTTGAGGGCAGGGAAGGAGGGGAATTATCACCTCATTAGGGCTTGGGAATCCCATTTTGAGTAGAGTGTGAGAATGCCCAGTTCATCCTTACTTCACTTAGCTAAATGGAGTTCACATCCTGAGTCTATGTTACAGATCATTACCCGCCCCCCCCCTCATTAAATCTGATAGTTTGAACTGCCTCTGCACACTTATTAAACACCTGCTGTGTACACAGAGATAAGCATTACTATGTTTTCTGCATCAAGAAGCTCACTCTCCAGTGGCGGAGGCGATCAAGTAGATATGTTACAGGTGACACGATTGGAGGTAGCTCAGGAGCTGTAGGAGCACAGGGGGAGGTTCAGGATACAGTTAGAGGAGAGGTCAGGGAAGCTTCTCTAGAGAAGATGA